TGCAAGGAGTCAGTTCTGCGCCCTCAGAAGGCTTGGAGCCGCGTCTGCGTAACCAGGCGGTGGCTCATCCGACAACCCCTGTGCCCACTCCGACTGCTGCTGCCCCCTCAGGAACTCAATCTGCTCCTGCATCAGCCGCATCTGCTCCCGCATCTCAGATATCTCCGCCTCATCGGTGCGCGTCCTGCCTGTAGAGCGCACCGACTCCCGTCGTGGGGTTTCCGTCGTGATATCGGTCTTCAAATCGTGCATCTCCCGCCTCACCACACGCAGCCGTTGGTCAATTTCTGATTGGCGCGCCCGCCGCACCGCCTCTCTGCTGGAGTCTTGCGTGGCGGTTGAGCCGGAACGAACGTGGACCAGGGGAGGACCAGCGGCACTAGCAGCCGTCGCAAGACCCCCATATGCAGAGCTGTCGGAAGCCATGCCACCATACGCATCGCTATAGCTAGACGGTATGCTCGGGTCAACCATGTCGCTGTTTGTCCGTGAAGGACTGGTCATGGGGTTCTGCTGATCAAGTGCGCCGTAGAACGATGGCATTTCGGGATGGGGAGAATAAGGAGAGCGGATAGTCCCCGATTGCAGGAAGTCACTTTGGGTGTCTGGTCGGGCACGGTATCGTGCTGAGGATGATGTTGTGTCTAGGGCGTAAGGCGTGACCGCACCCCTGTATTGGCTGCCAGTGAAGGCAGGCGCCATTGGAGACTCGCCATCAATTGAAAATCCGTTGTGCGAAGGGTTGGGTGAGCGCCTTCGTCGGCGGAAACAGATAAATAATAGAATGAGGGCCAGAATAGCCACGACTCCGCCAGCGACACCTCCGGCAATCGCGCCAATATTCAGTTTCGAACTTGACGACCCATTGGAATTATCGGAGGTCGAGGTCGAAGTCTGCGACTCCTGCGTGCGAGTCGTGGATTGAGATGTGGTGGGTGTGCCAGGTGAGCTGGAACTCGTAGCCGATGTCGACGTGGTGTTTGGCGTAGTTGTCGGGGTGCTAGTTGGCAGAGGAGTGGGTGTAGGTGTGGGGGTATCATCGAATCTGAATTAAATGGATTAGCATTTTCAGGAGCGCTCAAGGAGTGATGTCCACGCACGTGTATATGGCATAATCAAAGTTGACAAAAATGTTCCGGTCAGTAATCCCCGATGTCGATATAACGAGCTTGTGGTCAACATTTTTCAAACTGGTTTGGGAGAAGCTGAGGGCATTATATTCTAGTGCAGTACTTGTGGAAGGGACGTGATTGAACGATCCAGCTGCGCGACCGTCCAAAGTGAAATTACACGCCGTCTCGGTGGTGACGCCGTCCGCGACGAAGTTTGCGAGGATGAAAAACACATAAATGGCGGTCCCTGAAGAGTACATAGTCGTCAATCGAATTTCACTATGCGCGAGGTTTTTACTCGGCGTACCTGTGAATGACAACTCAATCGACATCGACGCAAGGTCCTTGTTGTATGTTGCAGCCGTCCAGGATCCCTTGAAAGCCTGAGCGGGATCAGGCTTCACTGCGCACCCTGTGCAAGCTGCATTCTCCCAGACACCGGGCGTAGCAGGAAGATAAATAGGTCGGGCTCCGGTGACCGCGTCGCCTGTGGTATCGTCGATGGTCCGATTCACAGCACCGGCTTCTGCCCGCCAAAAATAAAAGAGAAAGAGGGGAAGAAAAAACCGAAAATGCAGGTGCATTGATAAGGTAGAGGAGAAGGACGAGATGTCGGGGTCAGCATCAAGCTGACAATCCTTCGGTTAGGGCGGTCCTCATAATTTGATCTAGGTACGAGTATATGAGTGATTCATCAAACCTGAGCTCCAACCTCATTGTCTGTTGCCAAGGGCACTGGCATCGTCGGGTTTCCGAGTCTACCAATGGCTGGAGCCCGAGGTCAATGATGATAGTCGCCTTCCCGACGCGCATCCAAACAGATATCATGCGCCTTCCTGCAAAATCCAGTCGGAGGGGAACGCCGTCGACGTCGAGCAGAATGCGGTTGCGCGCATGCGGCATATTTAAATTATGATCGGATCTGGTCATGTGATTTATCGCCGAAAATAATCTTAATTTATTATCAATCCGAGGGGGTCTGACTCCCATTTACGACCTCCAGGCCTCCTACGATAAACGTTCAGATCTACTGCTGGCCGGCACATTTTACGGCGAAACAAAGAGAGGAGAATCTCCAGGATCTAGAGAGAAACTACGAAAATGGTCCAAAGAAGCCACGTAGATGGTACGTCCTCCTAATCCTACTGAACGAACTTATCTACAAGTTTCTTCTCCATTCCAGGTCCATCGCAAGCGGAGCAGCTACTGCGCGTAACATCCGGGATCGCAGCAGAGCTAATCAAGGCGCACGATGAGAACAGAACCGTCTCGCTGAACGAGGTTCGCGCCAAGATGAGCAAAAAATTTGCATATGGTGGTGTGCCACGGCTTGTCGACATCATCAGCGCCATACCCGATGACTACAAAAAGGCACTGCTGCCTAATCTCAAGGCAAGACCGATACGAACCGCCAGTGGGGTGCGCAAGTTTTTGATCTGTTGGAAAGTTCTTACTGATTGAAACCTTGGTCTGAAGATCGCGGTCGTGGCTGTCATGTGTAAACCGCATCGGTGTCCTCATATTGCGATGACAGGGAATATATGCGTGTGCGTATCACGTCAATTGTATATCTATGCTAAATCTGAACCTTGGATATGTTTTCAGTTACTGTCCAGGAGGCCCGGACTCCGACTTCGATTACAGTACGCAAAGTTACACTGGCTACGAACCAACAAGCATGCGTGCGATCCGTGCTAGATATGACCCTTACGAACAGACACGAGGACGGGTGGAACAGCTGAAGAGTCTCGGCCACAGCGTAGACAAGGTTCGTTGCTCGAGAGCTATCTTGGTACATCGAATAAGGTACTAAATCCGTCAATCCCAAAGGTAGAGTTTATTGTCATGGGTGGAACATTTATGAGTATGCCAGAGGACTATCGGAGCAAGTTTATCGCTCAGCTGCATAATGCACTGTCTGGATTTACGGGGACAGATGTGGACGAAGCCGTTCGGTGAGTTCACCCGATCACATACTTTTCACAGAAAACCGACGAAATTCCAGATACTCTGAACAAAGCAAGTCAAAGGCGATTGGCATAACCATCGAAACGCGGCCAGATTACTGTCTTCGTCCCCATCTCAGGTACGTCCAGCCATTCCATCCATGTCTTCGTCTCTCCTAACACCACTCCTCAGTCAAATGCTCCGCTACGGCTGCACACGTCTCGAAATAGGCGTTCAATCAGTCTACGAAGACGTCGCCCGCGACACCAACCGCGGCCACACCGTCCGCGCCGTCTCCGAGTCCTTCCACCTCGCCAAAGACGCCGGCTTCAAAGTCGTCGCCCACATGATGCCCGACCTCCCCAACGTCGGCCTCGAGCGCGACCTCGAGCAGTTCAAGGAATACTTTGAGAATCCGGCGTTCAGGAGCGATGGGCTGAAGATCTACCCGACGCTCGTGATCCGGGGGACGGGTCTGTACGAGCTGTGGCGGACGGGGAGGTATAAGAATTATACGCCGAATGTGCTCGTTGATGTGGTGGCCCGGATTCTGGCGCTCGTGCCACCGTGGACGAGAGTGTATAGGGTGCAGAGGTACGTGCTGGATATGCGTTTCGGAGGACGGAAAGCTGATAGTGGCGAAATACCAGAGACATCCCGCTACCGCTCGTCTCCAGCGGGTGCGAAAACTCGGGCAACTTGCGCGAGCTGGCGCTAAATCGGATGAAAGATTTCGGCGCGGAATGTCGCGATGTCCGATACCGTGAAGTCGGAGTAAGCGTCCCGCTCTCTTCCCTATCCCACCCTGTCCTCACCTACCACTCCTTCTTAGATCCACGAAATCCACCACAAAGTGCGCCCAGAGTCCGTAGAGCTCCTCCGGCGGGACTACACCGCCAACGGCGGCTGGGAGACCTTCCTCTCCTACGAGGACCCCGAGCGCGACATCCTCGTCGGGCTCCTGCGCCTGCGCAAGTGCTCAGAGGAGGGCACCTTCCGGCCTGAGCTCGTCAAGAAGGACGGCGACGAGGGTGGATGTAGTATTGTGAGGGAGCTGCATGTGTATGGTACGGCTGTGCCGGTGCATGGGCGGGATCCGACGAAGTTCCAGCATCAGGTGAGTGGGATTTGGGATCGATTCTCGTTGAACGGTCTTTGCTAATGTGTTCTCAGGGTTTTGGAACGTTGTTGATGGAGGAGGCGGAGCGGATTGCGAGGGAGGAGCATGGGAGTATCAAACTTGCGGTTATCTCTGGTAACGAACTTTGCCTCTCTTTTTGCGTGGACGAACCCTTACTATTTCTCTTTCTTTTATAGGTGTCGGTACGCGCGACTATTATAGGAAGTTGGGATATGAACTAGACGGCCCGTATATGAGCAAGTCTTTATTGTAACTATCGAGGATTCCTCCTACGTGTATTGTTAGCAGATGTGATTTTACTAAATTATTAGTTGCTTCGTCCTACGAATGGTAAATGACAACGATCTCATCAAGGACCCAGAGAAAGTATACAGGGGAGAGAACGAGGTCGGGTACAGATCTAATTATTGCTTTGCCCATCTCGAGCCCTTGGCGGTTGTTCTTTGATCAAACGGACCTGGGAGGTCACCTGCAATGTGATGGCGGCAGAAGACGCAGATTAAGGACAGCCTCTATTTGAATGCTACATCCACGATTGGTGATAGTTGCGACGTGGAATAGCACCCCAGGCTGGCATGCAAGATGGAGTCCCAGCTAGCAAAAGCGAAAGGGTACTTTCTGAGGCCGACCTCGTATTCCAACAAATTGGACGAAGGGTACGTGATAGGTCTACCACATAACCCACTGAGTCCTCTGACACGAGAGGGTCCTTGGTAGAACAACGAACGCGCCTCTCTATATCAAGCGCGATGTGCGTGGCTCAACAAAACAGAAAAAGGTTTCCACATCCTATACATGCATGATGAGAGGGGGATTCGAACCCCCGCCCCCGAAGAGACCAGATGGAACATGGTCGCTGTACAGTCCAACCTTAGTCTGGCGCCTTAGACCGCTCGGCCATCTCACCATGTCTTCCATGGCGAGAGGGGTGCCCACGGGGGCGGGGGGTGATATAGACCGATGGCAAGGATGAGGCTCGGGTCGGTTCGACGACTGGTGGTGATGTATGACGAGAGGGGGACGCGGCTGGGTGTATGCATTTGGAAAAGCAAGCAACCAAGATGATGGGAGATGGGTCGAACCGCCGCCCCCGAGGAGGCCACGGGGAGGTTCTCGGAAGTCAAACATATTCATAGATACTTGCGTCTTGTCCATATTCAGGAGGGGCTCGAAAACTGCACCCACACGTCGTGCCGGGTCCAGTCCGCGTCCAGTCGATACGCAAGAGCTGCAGATAGAGTAAGAGCTGTTACAGATAACACCATTCTAACGGGATCACATACATTTACAAAGATCTACATACCCTCACCCCTCCCCCACACACCGCACCCCCACTCCTAACTCCCCCCTCCTCACGGCTCCCCCATAACCAGGGTATGAAAATTCGGAAACACCAACTCCTCCTCCACCGTCTTCCTAATCACATCCTGTATAAACCTCTCCACCCTCGTCACATTCTTCAGCACATGCTTATCCGCCTGCCCAATCTCGCTCTCAATATATATCGACGGCAGCAGCCTCTGCCCCACCGGAAGCGGTTTCGACGAGCGCGGCGAGGCGGAGGGGGGTACACCACCACCACCCCCACCGGTGGGAGGGGCGTCGTCGTCGAGCTCGGGCGGCGTGCTGCTGACGGAGTCGCGTTTGGAGCGGTCGCATGCGGGGCCGTAGGGGTCCAGATTGTCTAGGATACAAATATGCACGCGTCTGCGCTCGCCCTCGTACGCGACGGCGAGCTCGCCGGTGAACACGAGGCCGGTGATGGAGAGCTTGATGGGGAGGGACATGAACATGGGGGAGGGGTAGTTTATGAGCAGTGAGGTGGTCAGAGTGATGCGGAGGTCGGAGTGCCAATTTACATGGAGGTGCACTTGGAGGTTCGGGTGTTGGGGTTGGGGTGGCGGTGGCGGCTCCTGGGTAGGCAGGGGTTCGGTGGGTGCAGACTGGGAATGAGAGTGTGATGAGAGGTGCGGGAGGCGCGGGGAGACGTTGGGGTACTCGGGTTCAGCGTCGTGCGTGGCGTAGAAGGGGGTGGCGGGGGAGGGGCTGCGTCCCACCGGCCAGGGTGAGTACGGCGATCTGTGGTCCATAAGACTTGGGAGGCTCATACCAGGATTCCACGGGTCCATCGGGTTGCCGAGTGAGGGGGGTGCGGAAAACATGCTTGCAGAGCCGTATAGTCCGTAGCGCACATGGGGGGGCAGGTGGTGGTACGCGAGTCCTTCTTCCCGTACGACTGCCCTTCTGGATACCCACTCGAAGCTGTCTTCGTCCTCTGCACCTTCTGTGACCTTCACGGGACCACGATCCAGGTCGTCGTCGTCGTCGTCTTCGAGGAAGTCGCGGTAGATGTCTCGCAGGTCAACGAGTTCGACATCGGGGGAGGTTGAGCCGAAGTCTAGAGAGGTGACTTCGACGGGGCCTATGAAAGAGGGCCGTTCTGCATTGGCTAACTGGCGATTGAGGACATCGACGAGGTAGGTGGAGAGCGACGAGTCCAACTTTGTCCATTCCAGGTCAATCGACATGAAAGACCTTGTAGAATCACATGATCCCACTAGGGGAGCTCAAAGTTGGCGCTTGCGGCCGCTTGGAGTCGCTTCGCTGCGCTGCGCTTGAAGGGACCGTGACATTATGTAATCCTTAAGAAACATCACGCTGTCAAATCTTATCAGTTTGATAGGCCCCCGGAAGCTCTCTACAAAGCAAGCCCTCAAAATAGCGGATTTCAGGGCGAAAAATCGGTCAAACACTGTCCTTACTTAGCGGATTTGAGGCCCTGTGCGACGCTACCCTTGTCCGCTATTTCGCGGATTTGAGACTCATCTGGACGAAATTTTCGAAAATTGGTATCCGTTTTCTCCATGGTACATACATCCTTCGTGAACGTTCTCACAAGTTGACGCCATGAAGCCCTTGAAGCTCCAGCCAATCGGTGCTACGTTCAATTTCCTTATTATCTCCATACCATTGAGGCTGTTGGTGAGGTTATAGCGAGCTGGAGAGAAAAAATAACAGAAAAACAAGAAAATTTCCTCTTTAGGTCATTACGCGTAGAACCCTGTCCGATTTAGCGGATTTGGCACCTCAAACTTCGCGGATTTGAGACCCGATTTTTGGGTTTTGCCCGGGCTTGCTTTCAGGGGAGCTTCCGGGGGCCTAGTTTGATGTCGTCGAGATGGCATGATCGAGCGCTCGTTCCTCCCCAAAATGCAATCGAAGAGCCTCCAAGAGTCACGACAAGAACCTCGGAACCTATGAACTGCTTCATAATTCTTTGCGTGAGTACATCAGCCCCCCCAATGAGCTTTCTCTGGACGAGCAGCTTGCTAGGCTGCAAGCTGATATACAACTCGAGGCAACAGGGGGGAAAGTCTTCTTATCAGGCTTTTTCTTCTTCTTAGACATGAGTAAAGTATAAATTTGGTATAAATGAAAAGAGTGTGAAGAAGTATCAAGGGACTTGGGAGGGGATGTGCGACGTGCGTGTCGAGTTGAGACGTGGTCACTCAAGGTCACAACGTTATTTGATGTGACCAGCTGACAAACCGCTCAAGCGCAGAGCAGCCAAGCGGCTCCAAGCGCCCGTAAGCGCCAACTTTGAGCTCCCCTACTAGCAATTCGAAGCGGTTGTGATCGTACTCCGCGACTGTCCTCGTCCGACTGCGCGGTTGTGATCGTCCTCCACACTGAAATGATGCAGGGTTACACTTGACTGTCTAATTTCTCTGACAATTCTCCATTGAGACAACCACCGTCCGAAATACTATCAACACAGATCTGCAAAACATCGCTCTTGCGCTCTTTCACATCACAGTACTTAAAACTTGGCCAAATATTGATTAAGATTGACCATGAGTCCTGGAGAACAGTCCGAGAAAATTTGGTTCCCCTGTCACTCTCCATAAGGTCCTCAAAGCGAATGAGATACAAATGTGAGGATCGCTCTATGTATAGGAACCTGCGTGTGTATACATATGGACGAAGCCCAAGGTCCGCAGATCTTGAACGACTTTGGACTGCCCATCCACTAAATACGCTTCATCCTTCCTTCGACGTTTCCGGATGCTCATTGCTCAACCGCGTGCGATCAAGTTCCGTGTATCCTCGTTAACCCCTACCGGAAGACCCACGCAAGCAAGCTTCGTCTTCCCCGAGATGCCCTGTCATTCCCAGCGCCTGCGCGACCCCTCCGCACATGGAGCCAGGTGAGCGGATCTCGCCATGTCTTCGAAGAATTTCAAGACTCAAGATGGCAACGTGGGGATAGCAGCATAGATTGTGAAATCTACGGACGCCGGGGAGCAGAATCGTCATTCGTCCAATCCCTTGCCTGGGCTTTGATAACTTCCTTGTCGAGCGGAGCCAGACAGATTCATCTGCGAGGTATTTCGTGACCTTGCCAAAGAGGGGGCGCCGTTGGACAGCAGATTGTTACTGCTGGGGAAGTAACTGTCTTCTAAAAATGCAGGTGAGGGGGAGGGGGACCGTGATATCGAGCTCCGGGGCGCATATTGCGAGGAGCTGGCGGTGACCTCCAAGTCGTTTGGCAGAGAATACGATCGTGCAGGCATCGTGTTGATGTGTCGTAATTTAGGGTTAGACGATGTGATCACGGAGAGAGCATTGGGTTGGGGTTTCGTCCCCGTGGACGAGAACACCCGGCGGATGGGGTACAGCCATTTCTGCGTTGCCGAGGTTGGGGATCCTGGACGCGAGTTGCCCAAATAGCCTTGACCTTTGAACATTATTCCGTCTTCCAATGAATATCCTTCCTCGCGTTTCGTCACCCGTCGGATCGAGCGCAGACACGCAGCACGCAGTTGACGGCGTAATGGATATGCGACTATCGTGAAAAACAAAAAGGAAATGAGGAGGAGGAATAGGACGGGTGAAAACCCAAGGGAGGTCCGCGTCAGCTTAGTCGGCAGAAGAGGCGTGATACGTTCCTCGAGACCATCAAGAGTCCATAGTGGCCGAATGCGCTTGATGTGGAAGTCAGGCGAGTCAGGCATCTCGTCGATCGGATCGACCAGAGGGCGGGCGGTGTTAGATGAGGCAGGGATTTCTTTGCTTGCCTCTAAGACCATCTTTCCGAGGGTCCAGCTGATGGCAATGTCGCCAACAGTATCGAGTGACTGGAACGCGGGCCTCCCAAGGCCCTTCTTCGCAGCCTCCTTCTCAATCTTGTCCCCTTCCGTCGTGACGTTACCTCCGGGGTCCGTTATCCTAGGGATTCCGATGCCTTCATGCAGGACATTGGCGATCCAGGCAGCTTTGAAGCACTGCATCTCCAACCGCGAACGCTCGACGGAAGGGTGCCATTGACCAACTTCCACCACCTGCCCATCCTTCTCCACCTCGCCATCCCCACCAAGCCTATGCTGGGCTTTCATCGTCTTGTGCTCCTGCATAATGCCATCCCAATCCCTTGCGCAGAAATTCGCGGCAGCACGTTCGTACTGGACGAAATCATATGCACCTCCCAAACCAAAGACGTGTTCCGATGAGTACCAGTACTCTGAGACGCCGATGAAGTGAGAGACGGAGAAGTCTATCGGGGGTACGTGGATTCCGTCCATCAGGCAGGGGGCATCTGGACACGGGGCGGTCTTGTTGAGAAGCGCCGACGACTTCTGCATACATTGCTCGAAAGAGCCGGTCCCTTTTAGGCGGTGTGCTTTGGTGGCATGCGCGTTCGAGGGCTTGTCATGGACAGGTTTCTCTATCAATTCGAGACCCTTGGGCAAACATGGATCCAGCACCACGTCTTTCTGACCGCCCGCCCGAGATGGCTCGAACTCTCTTATTGCCTTGCCTACGTATCGCTCTCGCGCCTGGTTGGTCCCGTAACCCAGCCACGTCGTGACGAACACCTTGTGCTTTACCTCCCGCCCGCCCAGAAGG